TCAAGAGGTTGTTAACTTAATAAAATTTTCTGTAAATTGAGAAAAACGTGAAAATTATTGTGACGAAATTTTGTGTACAGATGATAAGCAGAAAGAGTTTTTTTATTATATAAAATTAAACTAAAAACAATATTTATTTTTTAAATATTACAAAATAAATAATAATCTAACTCTAATTGTAATCTATTCTAATATTATTAATACTAATCTAACTCTAAACTTAATAATATCTTATTTTTAAATTTTATTTTAATCTTTATACGTTTAATTTAATTACAAGTATAAGACCTATAAAATGTAATATTTAACAAAATCAAACCTCAACAAATTAAGACCCAATAATGCAAAACTCAGCAAAATATAATACAAATCTAACAAAATAAGATTCAATAAGCAAGACTAACAAAGTAAAACCTAACAAAGTAAGACCTAATAAGAAAAGAACTGATAAAACAAGTTAGATCTAACAAAACAAGATCTGATAAAACAAAATCTAATAAACAAAAATCAATAGTAAAATCTGACAAAGCAAAACTGATAAAGAAAGATCTAATGAAGCAAGATTTGATAAAATAAAACTTAATAAAGCAAGACCCAACAAAGCAAAATCTGACAAAGAAAGATCTGATAAAGCAAACCCAACAAAACAAGAGTCAATTAAGCAATAATCAGATCTCCTTTAGTATAGGTGGGTATTTATAAATTATTACAAGATTATAATATATAAAACTTAACTAATTTGAGCAAATTTAAATTCTAACCTTAACTTTAACTCTAATAATTTATAAAATTACTTAAATTAGTTCAATAAAGTTAATTTATATATGTTATAATTGTATAATAATTATATATGCCTACTTATACTAAAGATCAACTGCAATGATCAATAAAGCAAGATTTAATAAAGAATTAGCAAAGCAAAACCTATATAAGAAGTGTTAGCTTTATTTAAAAAAATCAAAACTATACAAAAAAACATCTACTATATTCTTAGTTTCAGATTTCTGAAACCAATGAAGAACCTGTACAAAAGAAGAAGGTAGTGCTAGTTTATTTAAAAAAAAATAAAAACTATATAAAAAAAGTACTTACCACCAAGTTTAATGCTGAATTTTAAAAAAACATTGAACTTAACAAAAATAAAAAATGTTAATAAATACATAACAAAAAATTTTTTGATTAAACAAAAAAATAAGAGATTAGAATAATTACTATTGGTAGTAGTGTGCCACACTGTTATGTGAAAGTGACATTTTTAATGGTGATACTGGGAAAGATTTATAAAAATTGGCAGTCACATGATAATCTTTATGCATAATTAAAATTTATTAGTTAAAATTTTTTTAGAGTAGAGCTATTAAAACAAAAGCTTTTCTAAACATTTGAACAAAGATATCTCAACAAAAAATTTTTATTTGAATTCTATGCATCTAGAATCTGAATAAAAAATTTTCATCAAGTTTGATTAGGTGGTTGTCAAGATATCTTGACGCAAATTTTTAAAAAATTTGACACAACTTTTATTTTGAGACATTTAGTTTTTCTAAAGCTTTAAGTGAAGATATCACAATAACCATTTGACTAAATTCAACAAAAAATCTTTATTTAAATTTTATAGATTCATGGAATCTAAATAATTTGTTCTTTTATTAAATTTGGTCAGGTGGCTGTCGAGATATCTTCATTCAAAGTTTTAAAAAAATTCACAAAATAGAAGCTGCGCCAATTTCTAAATATTTGAGCAAAGATAGATCAATACCTACCTAATCAAACTCAATGAAAAATTTTTATTTAAGTTCTATAGATTCGTAGAATCCAAATCAAAAAATCTTATTTGGAGCAGCTTCTATTTTGATAGATGTAAGTTTTTTCTAAAACTTTGTGTGAAGATATCTCGACAACTACCTGACCAAATTCGAAGAAATTTTGTTATTTGTATTCTATGAATCTATAAAATTCAAATAAAAAAAATTTTATTGAATTTGTTAGATTATTGTTGAAATATCTTTGCACAAAGTTTTAGAAAATTTGGTGCAACTTCTGAGATGTTTAAAAACTCTGAGCAAAGATATCTCAACAACTACTTGATCAAATTCGACAAAAAATTCTTTTATTCGAATTCTATATATTTATAGAATTCAAATAAAAAAATTTTTCGTCGGGCAGTTGTTGAGATATCTTCGCTCAAAGGTTTAGATCCTGCATGAGCGGATCTTTGGATCGGATCCTTATGTGGATCCGGATTCGGCAAATCTTATAAATCATAGATGACCGGATCCGGATCTTGCGAACACTAATTACTACAGTAGTAATAAAATGGCGGCGTTTTGTAGGGCTGGAGACTATATGAGTGTCGCTAAAAGAAAACCCGAAAGTTTAAAAATGACTTATATTTAAATTTTCGAGTTTTCTTTTAGCGACACTCATATATTAGTTCATTAATGTAATTTTAAACTTCAATAAGAAAATGGCATAGTTAATATAGCAGCTTATACTTTATATTATAAGTGATAATGCCTATACAAAGGTTAATTTTCTTATGTTTTATAATAGTTGGTAAATGAAAATAGAATTCTTTTTATAATTTGTGACTATATCAAGAGTGACTATATCGAGATCTGACTGTAGAATGCGTTAATTTTACATACAATTCATAAAGTCATAAGTAAAATCCGATAAGCCGGAATATTATTATTGTTAATCTTTGTTATAAGTATGTACTTGTAACGCGTCGTTCTTTAATTTATGTATCGTTCGTAGAATTTCATTTTATTTAACATTTGAGTACTATGGGTTAGCTAGTATTATATGTTATGAATTGGCCGCTCTTCTTGAACATTATGGTTAAATATTCTTAAATATTGTAGGTTGAAAAAATTCTTTAATATTTCGCTTGATGCCCATTTATACTACAGATCGGATTTTTTAATATATTTTAACATTTACAATAATTTTATGAAATTAAAAGGCAATTCTAAAATGCATTTTAAATAGCCAAAGAAATACCTATTATTTTACCTAAACATTCTTGTTTATTTGTAATTCTATTAATTAGTTTTTTTTTTTTGTATAATTTAGCCTTTAGGTATAAGTTGTGTGATCACCCCCTGTATAAAAGCATCATTCATATTCGGACAAAATTTTGGTCACTTTTAGCTTTTAAACCAGCCTATTGGAACTTCAGGCAGTTCTATAGCGTTACAGATAGAAAGGTTCATGAAGTTATTCTTTTTGTGAAATATTGAAAATTTAAAATCATAATAGAAGTTCCATCTTTCTGTCAATAACACTGTATCACGTTATAAGTAAAAACCTTGATAAAAAATTACACACTCATATATATCGGGTAAAATTTTATACTCGAATATGGGCGTCGCCAATAAAAACAGCCCATCATTTTTTTAAAAAAAATTTTTATCTGATTTTTGAATAGATATACATTCAATAAAAAAGTTTGTTATATGCCATGAAAGTTAATTATATAATAAAAATCCAAAAAATGAACTTTAAGTTAAAAAATTATGTTAAAATTGATTTTGTTTATGTAATAATGGGTTGTTTCTATTGACAACACCCCATATACCCGTCGATATTTCGGATCTTCATTTTGAATTTTTTCTTGAAAATCATCAGTAATCCAAAATATTGTAAAGACACAATGCATATATAATTTACGTGAATAATTTTAAAATTTGTGTATTATAATTTTATAATTTTATAATTTGAGTTTTTTGTTTTATCGCTACCCCTGAGATTTAGTTGTCGCGTTGTGTGATGTCGGGGGTTCAATATTTAAACTCCACATATGATTAGTAATATAGATTACCTATAGATTACTAATCATGGGCTGAGTTTAAATATTGAAAACCCGACATCACGCAACGCGATAATTAAGTCGAGATTTTAATTTTCAGAATTTTGATTTGACACAGACCCGGGTAGCGATAAACTATAAAGCCCTTATAATTTAATAAAATTTATAATTTATAATAGATTTGAACCTATGTACAATAAACTATGTACTCTATGTGCTTTTTATTATTTCTTTTTATCGGTTGTTAGTATAATAGAAAACTATATGAAAAAAAAGAAATACAAATAAGAAATGCGAAACAAAAAAAAATCGCAATTTATAATTAGAGCGATATGGTTATGTTAGATTCGAATTGTCGAAAGATTTTTAATGATCGAATTGCTGATTAAAGGTTCTACAGAAGATTGCAAAAATTTTATTATTATTACAGAGGCAGAAGCCGGATATAAGATTTCCATGTGTACGACTATAAGGTCACCGCTCCCATCCGTTCCAGCCCAATTATTATTATTATTATTATTATTATGTATTATTTATTTTTAAAAGAATCTCAGTATCGAATCAGTATCGATGTTCATATTTATGATTATTTATGTGACATATGTTTTATAAGCGAGTATTGAATTTGGATCATAACCAGTTCAATAGAACAGTCTATAAACCTAGTCCACAACCAGTAAGACCACATATTCACGCGAGTTTATTCGTACATATTTAATCTGCATAGTGAATATCGATACGTATAAATTATATTCTTGATAATGGGTCTATATGAATGTATCAAAAAGGTAACTCTAAATACATCAAAAAAGTAACATTGGTTTAGCCCCGCTTTTAGCGATTCCCAAATTTAGACAGTAACACTTTGCGTCTTTTAAAAGTTAATATAAAACTATATATATAGTTTATAATATTATAATATTTGTGGCGAGACAAATATATTAATGATAATAATGAAATTATTATAGTTAAATTTTTGTCTGTAATACTTTTGTAGCTTAGTGTTATCAAGAAAAAAATTGAACATTCATCTCTTATCGTTATAGCTTGAACAAATAAAGTAACTCTTTAAGATTACTAATTAAATTTTGTAACTTTCAGGGTTCTATTATACTGTCAAAATGCTTATAAATCAATCAAAGTAAATTAGTAAATTGAATAAATTGAATAAATTAATAAATTCTAATTAGAAATGAACCAAAAACATTGTGTAAATAATTGCGATTATATCATTTTTTCTAAAAATGTAATAGCAAAAAATTCAGTTGGAACAAATTAAATTTAAAAAATTGATCATATGTATACACAAAATGATGATAGTTTATCGTTATAATAATGCTTATCATTATTGGTTATCATTATTGAAATTAAGCTTATCATTATTGAAATTAAAGTTCATCATTACTGAAATTAAAGCTTACCATTATCGAAATTAAAGCTATCATTATTGCTTATCATTATTGAAATTAATTATTGAAAATAATCATTTTTTATTAATACCTAGATTACTAAGTATTTAATACGTAATAAAGATGATAATTTTGAGGTTTGACCATAAATAATAGAACCTATTTTTTTTTTTTTTGTTAATAACTTACGTACTATGCGGATCAAAATATCCCCTTTTGTAAAATAACCATGTATAAAAAACTACTGGTACATTGATCCACACAGCACTATAAATTAACATCAGATAATCTTATACATAATAAATGATCTGATTACGTAGTAACTTTAAAGATATTTGTAGAATTGGGTAGTATTTTTACCGTCTCGTATTACTACGTATAATACGTATAGTTTCCCTAACATTACACTTCTTTAAGTTCTTTAAATCGAGCAATGATTTAATAC